ATTCTAAAAGAAGAATATCTTCAGTAGATTTGGCTTGCCTAGAGTAATCATTAGTGACGGAGGAAACCACTTTACGAATAAAAAAAATTGAGACACTTTGGCTAAATATGAAATTAAACATAAAATATCCACAACATATCATCCTCAAACAAGCAGTTTAACATAAATATCTAATAGAGAAATCAAGAGGATTTTAGAAAAAACTTTCAATCATAGTAGAAAGGATTGGTCCTTATGATTAGAAGATGCATTATAGGTTTATAAGATTTCTTACAAAACTCCTATAGAAATGTCTCCAAATAGGTTCATTTTTAGAAAAGCTTGCCACTTGTCAGTGGAGTTAGAACATAAATCTTATTAGGTTGTTAAGGATATTAATTATAACATAAAAGAAGCTGGTGATAAGAGATTATTGTAGTTAAATGAACTCGAGGAAATTAGATAAGAATCTTATGAAAATGTATAAATTTATAAAAATGATAAAACAATTGGCATGATCGAAAGATTCTTAGGAAAGATTTTGAACATAGATGAGATTTTACTATTTATTACTTGATTAAAACTAATTTCCGAAAAACTTAAGTCTAGGTGCTTGGGGTCCTTTACTATAGTTAAAGATTATCCTTTTAGTATAATCGATATTAAGGATCCTAAAAGTGGTAGGGTGTTTAAAGTGAACAGACAAAGACATAAACCTTACCTAGGTGGAGAAAAGTCTATAATTAATGTGGTCTTATTGTTGGGTCCACCTAAGTGGCATCTAGATTCGTCGGCCTGATGACATTAAACCAACCGCTTCTTGAGAGACAACCCAAGTTTGTTTTTATTTTTTGATGTGATTTGCTTGTTGTTTGTTATGGTGTGAAGTTGTTTATGTTTGTGTGTTGAAGCTTAAGAATGGGATTGGATTGCTTTGTTTTCAGTGTGATTTGTGGTAGGTGATTCCTTAGTCAACTCGTTATAACTAGACTTGAATATGTTCTCTAGAAGTAGTAAGATCAACCGTATCCTCTACATCTTAGTTCTCGATCGAACTTAAGATTAACTAGAGATATGCTGAGTCTGGACATAAGATAGGTCCATCTCAATTCTTAATTGCCTATTTCTGACCCGGTTCTTCCATTTTAGTGGTTTAATAAACCAGCTTTTAGAGGAACTCACGGAGGACCCTTCTCATTTAAGCTGTAAGTGATGTATGCTTTATGGGCAAGGTAAACCTGAGTTTGGCAACACATAAGCCAATAGATCAAACACATCTTGTCTAAAGGTTAAACTTTACCAAAACTATTTATAAGCATCCCATAGTCAAATGAAAGAAGAATCAGTTGGGGATACAGAAATAGGGAAGGAAGATGTGATGAGAAAAATTAGGAGTTAAACTCATTTATCTTTTGTATTTGTGTGCTTATTTGTGTATAGAAAGACTTGGGGAGGATTAGAACATTCAATTTAAATGACCAAAATCGAATTTGGAGCGTGCACGTAGGCCTAAGTACCCCTGACACCAAAATGCCAGGACTGGTGCTAGTTCCTAGGCTGAATAGACCGGTGCCAAGGCCCTACACCCTAAGGCCTTGGCGCCACCATCCGACGGCTAGACGTCAGGCTTACCTGGGTGATTAAACAATCTAAACCACCCTCAATTTAGGCAATTTTTGCACAATCTATTTCCTGACTCCTCTTTGGCGATTTAGGAGCGACACTTAGGGTAGCCATTCTCTTTGCATTTGAGCTCATCATAGGGATCTAGAAGTGCGTAAATCACCTCCTCGAGGTAAATTTTCACTTCTCTTTCTCACATTCTTTGTTGCAACTAGGAAAAAATCAGATTTTGGAGGATTTGTGAGGAAGAGGAAAAACTTTGGAAGATTTTGATTTAGTTCTTGATAAGCATATTGTGTTTGTCCACATTATTCATTTAGCTCATCTCATATCTTTTGCATGTCCATCTTTACCTATGACACCAAAGACCACTGGTGAAACATTAAGAGGATGAGGATGCTGGTGATGATGATAACGATGAGTTGTTTATTTTTATTATTTTGATGTGAATGTTGTTGTACTTTTATTTTTCTTTTTTTTGCTGCTGCTGCGATGAACTCTTATGTATTGCTTTGATATGTTGGACAATTTTATATTTGTGTCTGTGGATATTGATGTGTTTTTTGCACCATTTACTTTTGATTTTTGTGCTGATTGTTATACATATCTGTTGTCATTTTTAAACTCTTTATGGTTATATTTTTCATTCGTAATCTGATGAGACGTGATCTAATTTCTGATGCATTCTTGTCTCTATTATACTTGTAAAAGTGCTATGAATACACTTAAGTGATAGAAAGTATTTCAGTGCTATTCCCTTCCTTTTCATATTCATGTTATGCATTATTATAGATGTTAAAATTCAAGTTTGGGGGTGGGGGAGGGGGGGAGAAATATCTTTTAAAGGCTTAAATTTATTTTTCCTATGTTACCTGCATTTCAAAATGTTGAGATTTAAAATGAATTCGAGTTAAGTGGTTTTAATTTAAAAATTATTGCAATTTTGAGTAGAGAAAAACATAGAATTTTTATTTTAGTAACTGTGTAAATAAGTCTAGACTAGAGTATAGTTAACTGATAGTTCACCCTGATAAAAAATTGGTTTCACTTATAATGAGTTATATATTTGTAAATTAAATGTCCTTAGATATTCAAAAGAATTAGGCCTCTATTCAATATAAATTTCAATTATTACATATGCCCTTTGAAAAAATTTTTAAAAAAAGTGAAGGAGTGTTATAAGTTTCGCTTTAGAAAGGTGTAGTGGAATTCAAAACTATTAAAGGTCTATCTAGATATAATAATCTTCCTTAAAATAATGATAATGTTTTAAAAAAAATTGCATCCTGAAGCAAGAAAAGAACAAGAAAAGTGTGATCAAAAGAAAGTGTCAAGGGGAGGAGAAACTTGAGGAGAAACCTAATCAAAAATTGGTTTCACTGGATTCTTTTTAAAGCTCCTACTAAAATTGGCTGAAATGTGAGAACTTTGAAGATGAAGAGGGTAAAGCAGCGCTGATTGCGCCATGTTTACTGGGAATACCATCATGGACATTCATGAAGCACAATTATTGGAACTACTTATTACGCAGTAAATAAATAATTTTTTCATTTTATTATCTTATTTTTATTGTAGTTGTCACATTAAAAAATAAGAGAAATGAGGAACTAAATATATACATAAAAAATCTGGCTAAACGAATCATGGATCATATAAAGTCTACTGAAGGACCATGTTAACTCATTCAGAATACCTAACCCTAGAACATCACGTCATTCAGTAGGACCATAGACTGACCAAAGGAAAACATATCCAAGCTAATGAACATAGTATACCTAAATTGGAGAACCACATAGAATAATCTCTTGAACCGATTCTGGCTCACTCATAGAGAAGATCAACGGTCGCTCCTTCCTTCTGAAAATACCATTTACCCGAAGGAAGGCGACCCATTAGATTAAATGGTATGCCCTCTGCTAGACGAAATAACCTTCACTAAGGATAAGGTCTCTACTAGGGGTTCCCTCAGAAAAGTTGACCAAAGACTTACCGACTGATTGAATGAATCTCTGTAGACCGATGAAGACCAGATAACCAAGTTGTGTAGTTTTGAATATGAAGTGATACAAATAGCTATTAAAAATTTGAAGCGATGCCAAGAGTGGTCACTAGTGTCAAAAGATCCAAAAGTTAGTTACAAATATGTAAAGATATAATAACTCATAAATTAATCGTAACGTTCATGTTTAATCAGGGCAAACATGTAATTTATTAGACTCTCCCTATGATTTATAAATAGGTGATTCACCTATTCATGAGGGGCTATTGAATCTATTTCAAGAAAATTGGTACTATCTTATATTCTCTCTCTTTCTCTTCCTCTTTGTTTCTCTCATCTGATCAATGCTCTATCTCCATCTCTTGAGCGTAACCCAAAAAACATTTTAGGATTCAACACATATAAGCTTAGAACATTTAACAGGTTATCCGTTTAACAACAAATGAGTTTATTCCTAAACATTAATACGTGAGTTAGACTCGGTTCAAGTTCGATTTATTTTCCATTTGAGTTTTAAAAAGATAATTAAACTTTTTATTTACAAATTTAAATCAACACGATCAAATATTGATCAAATCTCGAGTTGTTCATCAAGTGTATTGGCTCATTACAACCCTGCTTTTATATATCCCCTCTCAAGCAACACTGTTATTATTCTTATTACATTATTGTGATCATGTACAATTTTTACATTAATGAAAGTTACTCAATTAGATTAGACAATTATTCTTTTCACAGGGTTTTAACCAAAAAAAAAAAAAAAATCAAAATTTCATTATATATTTTATTTAGTTGAATATGTAAGATGAATATATTTATGTAATTGAAAATGGATTCTAATTCTGTCATTTAATTTCTCATGAGAGATCAATTTAAAAAAAATAATTAACGGCTCATATATTTTTTACTTTTTTATGCAATATATTACAAGGAATTATTGAACAAATATTACGTTCGGATTCCGGATGTAAAGATACGTTCAGAGTCTAATAAAATCACGCATATAGAGATGACAGAAAAATAAAAAAAATCATTTTAGCACAAGCGAATATTCCTCCCATATTTTTTCGCGTTATTCAGGTCCGATTGTGGTGATATTCATATATTATTGTATTCTGAGAATATTCTCGACATTATAATAACATAATAATATATCAATATCATTACAATAACACCTGAATAATATTAAATAACATGAAAAAAAAATTTTCTTGTGTTAAGGGGCTGGATCACATGAAAAAGACTTTATTTAGCTCTATATAAAAGTGTTCGGGAGAACAGGCGACTAAGGACCAGCTCTTAACCATTCCCTAAAGATCCACGTAACGTTAGGCACGTGTCGAATAATTATTGGCTTATAACACTGTCTCTCGCTCGCTATTGGTCCACTTCAGAAGTTCCACGTCCCAAAAATTATTTGGGCCAGGGATCCATCGATGGTGTTTCGGGTTGACGTCAAGGCATCCCCTTCGTCGTCTCCCTGCGCAAACCCCTCCTATCCTTGCTCTGCGTACGTGGGCGGCAAACGAGAAAGCCCCGCTGGTAAGGCTACTTGAGATCATCGGAGTACGGATTTGACGGAGCTCCACCGGAGTTTCAATGGCGAGTTATAAGGCGGAATTTCTACTCTTCGCCATCCTGTTGTCTCTCGTCCTCGCCTCCCTTGGAGCGTAATTAGATTCCGCTTATCTGTCTTGCCATTACTCTTCTCCTTACTAGCCAGATTGTCTCATTCTCCTTACGGCTTCTCCAGGAAGAGCTACTATGAGGTGTTGCAGGTTCCCAAGGGTGCTTCCGATGAACAGATTAAGAGAGCGTATCGGAAGCTTGCGCTCAAGTATCACCCTGACAAGAACCAAGGGAACGAGGAGGCCAATAAGAGATTTGCGGAGATCAATAATGGTGAGGAATCACTAGCTATAATTCTTGTGGTTTTGCTGCTGGAAAGAAAGCGAGAGACAGTTTATTTGACTTTTTAATTGTCGTTTGTTGACAGCTTACGAAGTGCTGACTGATTCGGAGAAGAGGGGTATCTATGACCGATACGGAGAGGAGGGCCTCAGGCAGCATGCTGGTGGTGGTGGAAGGGGTCCCGGGATGAACATTCAGGACATCTTCAGCAGGTATAGATCTGTTTTCATTCAATTGGTGCATAGCTGTGCGACTGTCTCTATTCTTAGCGATGATGTGGTCCAAAGGTTTTCACTTGCTGCCCTTATCATTCTTTTGCTGGGCTGATCCCTAATTTGTTGCATTGGTGTGATTTATATGCGATATGGAATTATTTTACCTTAGTCTTGAGGATATTCAAAACTTTTGATGAACAACCTTCATTCGGAACTGGATTTTAAGATATCTGGTTATTTAGTTTCATGATTGGTAATCTACGTATACGTGCCATTTGACATTTAAGGACTCTAATATTTGAAAAGTAGGTGACTCTTAAAACAAGATAGTAGCATATCAAGGGTACAACGCTCTCACCAATTGAGGATATAGAAGCAGGTTGACATATGTTTCCATAGCTGTGATTCAAACTCATGATCAGTTGGAGAGAATCAATGCAATTTAACCACTACTCAAGGCTTACCCTCTACAGTGCCACTTAACTATTGTATCTTTGGGTCTCCTGTCAACAGGGTGACATTTCCGAACATTGTTGCTTCATTTTAGGGGCTACGATTTAGCTAAAAAATGATTGGTTCATCCATTTTTCTTTCTCTAAAAATGATGGTTATATTTACTATAACTTATCTTTGTTATCTTATACTGCTGGGCTGTTGCTGTTTTTTTTGTTATTATTTTATTTTTTTAATTATTATTATTATTATTATTATTATTTTGCCCATCTTTCTTGTAATTTTACTGCTTAATGCATTGCTGCCAATTAATAGTTGAATTAGGGAATTGGATACTGATTAGAAAGGCTTGAGGTAGCTGTACTAGTGTATAGACCGCTTGAGCATTTTAATGATACAGCTTGTGGAACACAGATTACTGTAGGATGTGTGTAGCTTACCCCTTTCCTTCTTAATTACCCTTCACTTCTATTCGTCTAAATGAAATAATAATGTTGGATGTGTGTAGCTTAGCTAAAGCTGACTCAAGTGGACAATTTTTTCTAATCATTCTTTTTCAACAACTTCTATCCATATTATTATAGAGATACCCCCTTGCCTTCTTAATTGCCCTTCACTTCTATTCGTCTTAATGAAATAATAATGTAATAGAAATCATGGAAACCAAATAATTTATATTTTTATATCTAAAGTTTGGCTTATGAGCAAAATATTCCTTAAAATTGTAAAATCAAACTTATAATTGATTGCTATAATTTTTTTTTATGCTTGATAAAGTTATTTTCTTGATTTTTACTTGGGAGTGATTAAGGGTTTGTTTGGGGTAGCTGCAACTATTTGAAGAAGCAGCTAGAAGAAACTGCTGTTCAAAAAACAGTGTTGGCTATTACAAATTTTTTTTTTGGAAAAGTTAGATCACAACATTCTGGTAGCCACCACACATAGTCAGATTTGGTGGGAAAACACATTTTACCTGCAGCTTTTTGAGAACGCAGTTTTTTTAAAACAGTAAAAATTGTGGTGCGGTACCAAACCGTCACCACACCGCCGCCCCAAACACACCCTAAATGAGAGAGATTGTGGTAGTGAAACCTATTGAAATATGATAATAGATGATTTTAATGGTTTGATCATGTTTGATTAATGGGAAAAGATTTACCATTGAGGCAAGTGGATATAGTCAAGATGGCTGGGTTAGGAAGGCAAAGAAGGTATCATAGTGTGGTGTTTGAACAACATAATAGGAATGAATGGAGATAGTGGCGTAGGTAGGAATTTTTATCAGTAGGGGTATAAATTGATGGTTTTAAAAATTTCTTTAATAATATCTCATTATTTTAAATTGACATGCCACAAAAATTGTCATTCAAAATTGAAAGAGTAAAGGAGTGACTAGCCTTTAAGAAATCTTCTCTGTATCTCCATTCTCCTCGATGCACTCACAAATTGTAAGACCTTTGACGTTGACACTTAAATGAAAAATATGGAAAAACCTAGATTTAAAAAGTAGAGTTCATGGTAAAAATTGAGAAAAGTGTGCTACAAGGTCCACATTACCACATCATCCTGCTAATTTTAATGTGATCGAATTAGAGTTGTATTGGATGTTTTTATGATTTGAATTTGATCAAGTTCCACCCAGACTCAAACAAAATAAATTTATGAAAATAGTATAGTAAATTTCTTATAGAATTTTTTGTGTGAAGTTCTTTTAAAATGTTTTGTTAACAATTTTCATAAAAAAAATTGAATTCATAAAGCAAATCTTTATCAAGAATTAAAATCTATTGGCATAAAATCATTAAATGATTATACAAAATTTTCTTTAAAATAAATTTTTTTAGTAATATTTTATTGACAATGTAAGATTTTTGCTTTATTTTTGATGAAGATGCGAGTCATTTCTTATTGGGTCAGTATATCTTAATCCAATGTTTTCTGAAATAAAATTTCATCGTGAGTTTCTGCTTCTGTTGTAGGCTTGTAGCACGCCTCTATAACAATCATCCTCCATGAAAGCTCCTAGTACATCAAATCATATCTTTCAACACATTCAGCTATAATGCATGTTTTTTTAATATTCTGTAGAACATAAGGCTTTCACGATGGTTATTCTAAATCTTTTGTGGAGTGAAGTTTGTTACTATATAACTCTGCACTGTGGGAACATTCTACTTCTTTTCTCTTTTATTATTTTGAGCCTTGGAGCCAAAGAATGCTATCTATTTTTCCACTCTGGCAATAGTTAATTTTATTTCTAGGTATTCTCTAATATGGTCAATTGTTTTTTCTTTTTTGTAGCTTCTTTGGTGGTAGCACACGGGAGGAAGAGGAGAGAATTCCAAGAGGTGATGATGTAATTGTAGAGTTGGATGCTTCCTTGGAAGATTTATACATGGGTGGATCACTAAAGGTGTTTAATTTACTTCCAGATGCTTGATATGTTCGTCAAAAACAATGTTTTAGTAATGTAATTTCTTTGTTAATATAGAGCTTATACATTCATGTGAGAACTAGCTTACTCTGCAAGTAGTGACAAACAAACTCCATTACAAAGATATGACAAGTTAACTGCTTGGTAATCTTGATACGTAGTTCATTAACTTGCTGCTGCGATGGTGCTTGTTAGGTTTGGAGGGAGAAAAATGTTTTAAAATCAGCTCCGGGCAAAAGGCGTTGTAACTGCAGAAACGAACAACGTCACATACAAATTGCACCTGGAATGTATCAACAGATAACAGAACAGGTTTGAGCTGCTTGGCATCTTAATTGACATACTTCTGTAGCATTGTTTATGTTTTTTGATATGTTCTCAAGGAACATGCTTGAATGTAAACTGGGAATATTATAACGCTAAATTAACAATGGTTCTAATTTGCTTCAGGTTTGTGAGGAATGCCCAAATGTGAAATATGAGCGAGAAGGTTACTTCATCACTGTTGACATTGAGAAGGGAATGAATGATGGTCAGGTAAACATTTATTGCCAAAACAAACTTTGTCTACACAAAAGTGTTTTTTTTTTTTTTTTTTTGCTGGTTTCATCTCTATTTTGAAAAGATTTTTTTTGTTGTCATTGTATATCTAATGTGATGATCATTTATTGATCCCATGTTATGATGGAGGTCATTGGCATACCACTTCTCGGTTTTCGGTGACTAGGAATTGAAATTTGTGCACCTTAACTGAATTGCAAGAGAGATCCATATCATGAGATTTGAAAACATACATTTTAGATTGGATTGTAAATACTTTGCAGGTGAATTCAACCCTTGCAAATTCTAATCGTAATGTTATACTTTTGAATTAGTATTTTTCCTCATGCAGTGATTCAAAAGAAGTAAAAGATTTGAAGAAGATCATGAGTGTGGATTCCAAAAGTAGGCCTTAATGCAAGAAGGAATTTCAAATGATTTTTAAAAAAATTTAGCCTGAAGTATCCCATTGATTCCAAAAGATAAAGTGCCTCTCAAGTCAATTTGGTATTAGAGCACAACACTAGGAAGTTTAGGGGATCAAGTTTATTTTTTTTTTATATATAACTCGTATAAATGGATGTTCAACCAAATGGCTACAATAATGGTCATTCTTGAAGTTGTTGCTAAAGCGCCCACCTTCAATACAACTACTCTCGATCTATATTGTAGGAGACCAATCTATGAGGGCATACAACATTTGAAGAGGAATCCGTTAATAAGGAGACTAGAAGGGGGCCAAATGATGTGTAGATCCTCCCTTCAAAGCTAAGCTAATCAATAATTAGCTTGATCTCTTTGAAATCTATTTCAACCACTGTTTATAATTGCACAATTTTGGCATGTTGGAGGCCCTCCTCAGCATAATTCCGAAGAAAAATACTTTGAGTCATAATGGGTGAGGCATGTGCCTTACATTAGTTGAGGCACGTCTCGTTTCAATTCTGTTGAGGCATGCACCTTTCATACTTATGTTTTTATTTTTTTTTATTGTATTAGACAATTCAAATACAAACCAAAACTGCAATCTCATATGCAAGAGCTTCCCACTTCCTAGTCAGGCTTTCCACCATGTTGCCTACTGCTTTTGCTGTTGGCATTGCCACCATTGCTTGCCGCTTCCGCCGCCGCCGCTGCTACTTTCTGCTTCCACTACATCAATCATCCGCTTCTTTGCTATAGTGACTGCTTCCTGTTGTTCTTGTTGTTGCCGCCCCCGCCGCCCCCGCCGCCCCCGCCAATTGTTCATATTGCGCCACTGTCGCGTGCTGCTCCAACTTTTGATTATTTATTATTGTATTTATTTAGATTTATGTATGTTATTCTGTTGGCTGAACAATATGAGTAAGAGAAGTTTACTATGTTAAACTAATCTTAAATATTATTTTGATATTTTATGTTACATTTATTTAATTTTTTTATATTAGTTTGTTGACTTGATTAGTTGATACTTATATTATATTTTTGTTTTGTAATTGTTTTGTAATTGTTAATAATAATTTATGGCTTATGTATGCATAGAATGTTAATTCCTTTCTTTGATATATCTATAAGTTATGATATTAAGTTATTATTTTTTTACCTCTTTATTTTGACTTACAGAATCTTTAAACTGTAAGGCATACGCCTCAAATTGCCTTGAGTATCTTATGCCTTACCTCATGAATAGAAAACGCCTCAATAACCAATTGTGCAATTTTGAACATTTATTTCATGGTATACAATTACCTGGCTAGAAATATAATAACATTTTTTTTTTTTTGGATTTTCTTGACATGTTTTAGTGTCGTAGAATTTCCAATCAAAGAATCATCATATTGCAATTTTGGCATGGTCTAAATTCAAAAATTTTAAAAAGGTCAATTCTAGCCTATCAATAAAAAAGAGAAGGTGTTGCTAATGGTAGAACTTGAAGCATGATAATGTATTACCCACTAGATTTTAGAAGATTGAAACTTCTATAGAAATCTCAGTCATTTGAGTAATCAATATTTTATGAAATATTAGATGGGGCTTTATGAAAGTCTTTCAGATAATTGAAGCTTTTCTTGTTATTGATGTTATTAAAGAGACCATTATAAAAAAGAAATATCTCCTTGCCAACAAAAAAGCTTGCTCATGCCAAAAAGTACAAGATTGAAGGCCTTGATATATAGGTGAAGTACATTAGACTATCATGCTGGTACTGTAAAAAAATGGTTCATAAATCCTAATGATTGTTGGAATCTATATCCAGAGAAGCAGCTCATATAGTTGGAATAAAAGAAGAAGATCCTCATTTCTTATGATGAAGTTATATTGATAGAAATGAAGATTAAGGCAAATAATGATTAATTTCAGTTTTTTGACAATAAGATTTGCTTGTTTGGATTTTCTTTACGATTTAGTTGGTATAAACACAATTAGTTGGAATTTTGTTGGCATAAACACAATAAGATTTGCTTGTTTGGGTTTTCTTTACGATTTAGTGGTGAAATTACGAAATCTAAGAATAATGATATGCTAGCCTTAGCATGGTTGGATTTTAAAATATTGTTAAAAGATCACTTCTCCCCCATCAATTGTGAAGCAAAAAGTGATTTTAACAGTAGAATTTGAAGTGGATAACAAACAAGGTGTACAAAGATTTGTTCAATTGAGTTTATATGATTGGAAGTAGCTTTATAAATCTCAATTGTTTGAAAAATCAATATTCATTAAATATGAATGTGGTTTCATGGAAGCCTTTGCACATAATTGAAGTTTTTTCTTTTTTTTACTAGTTGTTGGTGTTGTTGAAGTAAGCACAAAGGCCATTATAAGGAATCAGCTCTCTTTTTTGGTCATAGAGCTTAGTTTGCTCATGAAAAAAAAGGAGTAGATCATACTTATTCGGTTTGAGTTGGATGATAATAGAGCATTGTGACGCTATTATAAAAATAGGCCATGAAAATTGTTGGAATTTATAGCATGTGGAGAAGCCATATAAACCTTAGAAAGAAGACGCTTCATACCAGTTTAGATGAAGCAATTGAGTTAGGAAAGGTGATTAAGACAAATCTTGCATTGTCTTTATGTTAGTAAAGAAGCAAACAAACTTTTCACGTTTAGTTTTGGTTGAACTTTTTTCTTCATTTTGGATTTAAATATTGAAAGGAAACTTATTTGAAGCTATTGTTGAAAAGCTTAGGCCTGTATGACAACATATTAAATTTAAGTTAGTAGGATTTAGTAAATCTTGTAAATCCAAATTTTGTATATTTAGATTTTGTAACTCCTGGAAGGATTAAATCCCAAAAATTGTTTTTTGATGGATATAATAAATCTTGTTAAATCTTGCCATATCTATTTGACAACTTCTTTTAGGATTTAAAAAATTGTTGTATGTTTGTTAAAAAAAAATCATAATTATACATTGATTATTTTATTATTATAATAAAATTAATTATTAAATTTAATTATATTCAATTTAAATTTTTTTAATTTTGCAAATTAATGCTTAATTATTCGCCAAACTAATTAATTATTAATAAAAATATTGTTAAACTAATTACATATTAATCAATAATATAATATTAATTAATTATGAATTATCTTAATTAAGAATTACTTAAAATTTTATTAAATAAGTTTCATTTTAAAATAAATTTTATTCATTGATTAACTTTTAAATAATTACATATAAATTTATCTAATTGTTATTAGTTTGATAATCTATGAATTAATTATTTAATCAATCAAATCAATAGAATGAACTTAAAGAAAAATAAATTAGAACCACATACCTCTCTTTCCTTCCCCACTCTGCTTGAACCCTCATCTACGTCCTACCCCTCTTGATGGTTGAGCAATGTCTATTGTGGAAGTAGGTAAGGTTTGATGGTTTGCATGAGCGTCTTGCTCTTGAATTTTTTATTTTTCTCAAATTCAAAGGAGCATTAAAATATTAAGAGAAGTTGTGTCTAAAAATTTTTCTTAAAGTATATTAAAGGGTGACACTTCTATAAACTTTCTTATGTTAATACTTTTAGGAGTTTGAGTTAACCACATCTTATTTTCCAACAACAATGTAAAATTATTTCAATCAAAACTTTGGCCATAGAAAAGGCCTCAAAAGACGAGCACTAGCGCACACACATTTGGTAAAAAATTACTAAATATACAATGTAAAGCTTATAAAGTGGATTGGTTGAAGAAATGCAATTAAATCTGATAAAAGTAACCCATATTGGAGCGATTGGTAATTTTAAAGATGCATCAAAATGGGTGAACCATGTAAGCATACCATGGAAAAACCCTTGATATATTATGTACATTTTAGAGAGGAGTCATGTGTAGTATGCAACTAAAGAATATCTAATAGTGATGTGTTGAAGGTCAATTACTACAATATAAAATTATGCAGTAAAGATAGGTCAAGAATTATGAATGACATCCATGTTGGGTCGGCCTAATGAAAATTTGTCTACAATAGAGGAGAAAGGCCTAGAATGCTTAGATATTTTCTCTTCAAAGAAGATATGCACATTTTTTTTTTCTTAAAAAATGGTTGCTTGTGTTATAATGGCATAAAATCTTCATTAAAATATAAAAGAAAATGAGTGGAGGGAGAGGGCTTAATCCTCCCAAAGATCTCACCATTTTAATAAAAATACCATTATTGTGAATAGCAGAAGGTGTAGTGACCAAAGAAGTGATAATAGGATGAGCTCTAAATTAGTAGGAACTATATTTACAAAAGTCTAAGGTCAAGATGGAGGAATCTCTGCGCTCATTGGAACAACTAAGGGAGGAGGTGATTGCTGAAGAATAGGGACCAACATGAGGGAGAGCTGGCGTGATGTTTTGCACATGTAAGAGAGGGGAGATGATTAAGTAGGCTTAATTTTAGGAATTGTAAACTTTAAGTTCTCAGTGATCTCTAGGATCCATATGATGTTTAGGATTTTTGGCCTAACCAAGTCATTAGTGATGGTCATCTAGATTACCATGAGGATATTTGTAGTAGGCTTGGAAGGTTGAGGTGACACACCGCGATTTCTATGTTATTCTATCCTTATAAACACAACATTAGACGATAAATCTTCTAAATCATTCCAGTTTCCAAGTATTTTGAGGAGTGAAAGTTTGCTATGAGTTTGATTCTTTATGTTATAAGAGATTCCCTTCATCTAAATTTCTCTGTTGGCTCGTTTGAAATATTGGATCTTCCATTTAGTTAAATATTTCCCCTAATTTTTCATTATTATATTGAATTCATCATTTATAGCTTTTAAATTTCATTTCAATTACTATTATTTGGATTTTGCATTATATGCCCTATAATCAAATTATTTAACTTGAAAAAAGCACAAATTCTATATAAAATGCCGTTAACATGATAGCTTTATACATGTTGCATAAAATCAGTTGTTAGATTTAACACCTCAATTTCATAGTAAAATCTTGATACAAGGAAATCGATCTTGGAAACAATAATAAGAAATAATTTGAGTTAGACCCATACTAGTTTTAGTATCAATCAACTCACAATCGCATGTCTCATAACCCATGAAAAAGAAATATTCTCATGTTTAAAATTTCTAATTTTATATTAGTGTTGCATGAAATAAAATTCCTTAAAGCAATGAATTTTGCATGCTAATCAACAATGAAAAATCTTTCAATTCAACGCACTGATACCTCATCACAAATCATGATTGAATTTCGGTTTTTTTGAAGATCTCTAGGGAAACTATTGTAGATTCCTGGAGATTGTTAGTCGAAAGAATATTTGGTAGCTTCGTGAAATCCTATTGTTTTTTTTTTCATTGTAAAGCATACTATCATTTGGTCATGGAAACATGGTTGTCAGGTTTAGAAGGAGAGGGGCAAGGAATTCTATGTTTCAACAGCAGGAAACTGTGGCATACAAACAGAGAATATCCATTTGAGTTTGATCTAGTTATCATTAATTGTATGAATTTAATTATATAATGATTTGGTTAGTTTAAGATCTTTTGGGGTGGTTGCAGCTTTTTAAAGAGGTGGTTGTAAAGCTGTGGTGGATAAAATAACTTATTAGAAAGCTGCGGTGAGAGTTATAAATAAATAAATAAATATATATATA